GTCAGCATTAATCTCACGTCGGTGACCGTGTACAGTGCCTCGACGGCACCCCGCCTTTGTTGACTTGATATCCTTTTAAATTGTGATCACACTAGCTGACGGCAAATCATCAAACGTTGTTGTTACATTACCAAAGGTGAATGATTCTGTATAAAACGCATATGAATTTGAATAGTAGTGCTATTTGTCTCTGTTCAATAAAGTTTCTCACACAGAAAACAGATCGCAGGATGAACCACGCTGGCTGCACATTTAAGCACCATTTAAGAACACACACACGCACACAGACACAGACAAACACACACACATACACAGACATATAAACACAGACGCAAACAAACACTCACACTTATACATGCACATACACACACATCACACAGACACGCACACACACACATAAACACACACGCACCACACATGCACACACACACGTATCACTCGATGGACAGACACAGACACAGCATTATTCCAGCTCTAACACGGTCATCTGTTGTCCAGGGAGCCTGGACGCCGCCACGTGTGGTACGAGGGCACACAATCCACCGAGTCTCGGGGCTTTGCCATCCGAACCCCGTTGGTTACATTTTAATAACTGACACTTGTGTTCCCACTAACATTTTTAAAGTTCAAATTTAGAGCAATTTGTTTCAACAGAAACCGCCGCTGGTGGTACACGAGCAACGTATTACATTTTCCACATATAATATTGATAACAAGATGGCTATAATATCGTATGGCTGTCATCGTCCAAAGGCGTGACGCGACGCTCATGCATTCAACCACAGTAGCTTGTCTTGCCAAGACTTGAATATTCACCGGCAGCCCTGGAATATTGCTGACAACGACGTAAAACAACGTTCACGCATGAGGTGCCTTTGTTAAGATATAAATGTCCCAATAATTGTCCGGAATACTCAGTGTCCGGTTTAACGGGATGCGAACTTGGTGTCAGTCCAATAACAAGGCGCTGTTTAGTGTTGAATGTTATTGCAGAAAGACAACAGCAATCGTCTGGCGGAGGCTGCTCCAAACAATCATTGTATCCTGATCAGGTGTCGATTGCAAAGTGCAGCGTCAGCTGTTCCGAAGTCACCGGTGTACCTTGATACCGAATGAATCACTGGTTGTGTTGTGGTAATCACATGGTCATACAGAGAGAAGGTCCAGTTCAACCGTTGTGCAATATACTACTCCACTTTTGATAGTGATATTCAGATATTTCACAAATAAACTGGGCGGCAGAAGAAAGTATAGGTCGAGCTCCATGATCGATAAAAAATAACAAGAAGAGGTTTTGTTGTGAATTATAATCTAATCTAAGGAGGGGTAACAAATGATTGATCAACCACAGTTTGAATGAAATTGTGCAATCACAGGTAATGTAAGCTCAAGGTAAACAATGGTGGGGTAACAAATTTCATTTTCAAAAGTTGTCTGAAATGTCACCAAAAATTGTCAGACACACTACAAGTTCATTGGCGACACAGTTGCCTTCAATAGCGTGTATGACCCCCAGCTGCCTCAATGCATGCTGTGATAGGCCGCCTCATCGATGACGTCAGTCTTCTGATGTCGTGGACTGGAATCCGTTGCCACTCGTCTCTCAGGGCCTGCTGCAATTCTTGTCTGTTGACGGGAGGCTGATGGTCCCACAGATGTCCAATAGGATTCATATCGGGTCAGTGGACAGGTCAGGGCAAAACGTCAACGTTCTGCTGGTTTAGAAATTTAAGAGTCAGTCTTGCAGTATGGGGCCTCGCATTGTCGTGTTGAAACAATGTCTCCTGCTGTTGGTTTTGTAAGAAAGGAAGCACAATTGGCTGCAACCCTTGGCCTCTGTACTGTACAGCGTTCAGGTTTCCCTGTATAATCACCAAAATCAGTCTTCTGATCTCCACAAGTACCGCCCCCCACCATGACCCCCCCCCCCCCCCCCACACACACACACACACACACACACACCCACCCCCACCCCCCCGAATGGATGGACCTCTCGAATACACGCCGGAGCCAAACGTTCCCCTCTGCGTCGATAAACTCGTTCTCGTTCGAAACAAGTTAAACCGACTTTCATCAGTAAACAGCACTCGACGCCAATTTCTCACTTGCCAGCGTCGAACCTGCCTCGCCCATCGCAGTCTCAGGCGTCGATGTTGAGCAGTCAGTACCATTCCTCGGAAAGGACGATACGCTCGGATTCCAGCGGCACGAAGTCGTCGTAGTACTGTACGTTGGCTAATGGGATGTCCCAACGCTGTTGCTGCCGTCGCCGTCGCCGTCGCCGTTACGAATCTGTTTCGCAGGTGAATGAGCCGTATCTGACCGTATTCCAGTGGTGTTGTCACTCGGGGTCGTCCGGTTCTAGGCCTGTCCCGTGTCCTCCCTGTCTGCCTGTACCGTTGAATCAGCCTGGCTACTGTCAATGGTGTACAACCAAACCTTCTGGCAATTTGGACCTGTGTTGCCCCCATTTCGGCCATACCGATGGCTCTCTCTCTCTGCTCCTGTGACAGTCGTGGCATTTCTTTTGCGTGCTTTCATCACGCGTGGTTATACCCTGCAGACGAACGCATTTATACAGCTAACATGCACGTGCAGTTTATGCCATAGGCGGGAAACCTGTTTCACCATTTTTTTGTCATCGCCCAAGCGCCGTCAAAGGTGGCGCGTTCGGGTGAGGTTTTTTTGGTACCTGTTCCTGGGCAGTCATATACCCAATACCGACTTTCCACTAGTTATCGCTGTTTTTAGGAAAATTACAAATTGCCAACCTATACTTTCTTTTGCCGCTTAGTTTATATAGACCGCCTCCGTGGTCTAGTGGCAGAGCGTCCGCCCGGAGAGCGGAAGATCCGCGGTTCGATCCCCAGCCACGTCATACCAAAAGGCGGTACTTGTCGTTACCCTGTCTGGTGCTCGGCATTAAGGGGCTAAAACAAGGACTGGTCGGTTCGGAGTCAGTATACTGTGTCTGAATGGGGTATTCATGTTATACTGCGGTATGATATCTCAGTGTGCTAGCACCATAAGTCGACATCAGTCCGGACTATACCATGTATTAGACCAAAGATGCATGTTGACTACAAACATCATTTGCAACACCGTTTATATCTGTAAAACTTAATACCAAAACTCATCCTATAGTTTTGCACGTGCATCACACGTGCGTATGATGTTGTTCCTGATTTTGGCACATTCAAGGAAGGTCGATTGATCTCTGTGGACAATTATTTCTGTTAATCGTATTGATTCTACTTATCATACAGTTGTGATTTACTTGATGTCGTTCATTGTTTGTGTATGTGGCGTCAACAACACGCGATGCGGCTACGGGCTATTGGCATTCTGGAAACTGGCAGGAGTCAGCGTGCAGTGGCCAATACGTTCAATGTTTCACAGGCTGTGATTAGCAGACTATGGAACAGGTACCAACAAACGACCAGAGTACAGGATCGAATGATCCGAAACTAGGCTCTACGAAATGGAGCTCAAACGGCGACTGGAGTACGAGTTGCGTGCAGCTCATCTTCCTGCTCCACGGCCACGTGTTGTGCCGCTCCTTACAAATCGTCACATTGTCAACAAACGTCAATGGCATACATCGTCGCTTGTCACATGTCTTGTTTTCGGATGAGTCCCGATTCACTTCCTTCATTGGCGTGGTCGTGTCTGGCAACGTCTACATGAACGTCAAACCAATGTCATCCTGAGACTTCTTGGTAGATTTGGCGGTGGGTCGCATCACTATGACTGGGTGAATCCCACTCCATATTGTGCAAGGAAGGGTCTCTGGACAGTACTATCGGGACAACATACTGATACCCCTTGGCGTCCCGTTTGCACGGCGTGAGGGTCGACGATTTGTCTTTCAGGACGATAACGCCCGTGCTCACCAGCAGCACAACACCCAAACAATGCCATGGCCAGCAACAAGCCCAGACACCCCCCCCCCCCCCCCCCCCCCCCAATGAACACGTCTGGGACATGATAGGGAGACGTGTGGGTCAACGTCATAGGCCGCAGACCACATTGCCTGAATTAGGCCATGACTTACATGAGGAGTGGAACAGACTCCCCCAAATCGCCATTGGCAGACTCTTACGCAGTCGAGTGAATGCATGTTTGACAAATCGTGGTGTTATTACGCACTACTGATCCAAAAACGTCAATTTCCCTTCTTTGCCCTATCGTCCTTCAAGATCTTTGACGGTGATAACATCTACTGTCACACTTCACTACCTGTTGTAATGTGTTCCTAATTCGTTCATTATTATCATACAACTATTACTAGAAACTATTATCTCTTACAACTTTGGAGTGAGCGAGTATGGTTTTATGCCGCTTTAAGCAATATCACGGCGGGGACGCCAGAAATGGGCTTCACACATTGTACCCATGTCGCGAATCGAACCAGGGTTTTCGGCATGACGAGCGATCGTTTTCACCACTAGGCTACCCAACCGCCCCACAATTTTTGAAATGTTATGTTACTTCCGAATATCCCCTTCTGAGAGTATATTTAAATATACACTGGTCATATTATGAGAAACATGTTTGTGTATCATGGAAAGATGAATAAATACCCCTATCATATGTAGTGTATGATTTATACTCCTGCATAAGTAAATCATTTGTGTGACAGATTAATGTACATATACTTTAAACGGTTTCACATTCACGATATAATGTCACTGTCGTTGTTCTCCGTCAGGCGGTCCTTGTTGGTGATGTGATTACTGTCGCCTCGTGACCTCCATGGGTCTGTTGACATAGTGTGGACGGCGACTCGCTGCTGTGTGTGTGAATCAGTGTACGGCGAGGTCACCGATACACTGTCTTATCCTGTACATTTAGGTTGTGTCACTGAAAGAAATGTATAACTCACTGGATATTTACAAGCATAAACTCTTGAATTGTTTGATAGGCAGTTTGATACGTAGAAGTTGACGGATGACAAAGTAGACACAATCTATTGACAACTTCTTTATATACTGTAAAGGCGACGTTTCGGTATACAGATGTGGGTTTGTTCTATATATAGACACCCTGACACAATCAACAACGTGGCCCAATGGCGTGTAACAGTAAACAGACACATTGCTCGGAACTGTCACGTCCTTCCGCCGTGTTATATATATATATATATAGCTGGAGACTGTAGCCATATGTAGGAAGAGTGGCGACTGGGACCGTCACACGTGCAATGCAACCACTGTAGCTGGAGACTGTTGGATGATTGATGCACGTGTAAAGCTCTAGGTAGATGATTGATGGCTGCTTCCGGCTTCCTAATATATAAAACTGAAATTAGGTAAAATAATTACTTCGTGGATTATAGGTAAATATTTGTGTGTAGATTCAGAAATAGGAATACAATTCATGAAGAGGGGACTCTCTACTATGTTCGCCAAGAAGATGTTTGCAGCGATGAAGGCGCTAATAGCGCTTGCTGTGGAAGTCCATGTCTACTTATGACACTCACATACATCACTAGAGTTAGCGAGTGAAATCCATTTCGAACAGTATTTCAAGTACATCACCGCGTGTCAGCTGATGTCGGGGAAACAATCAGAATCGGGAAGCGTCGTATCCTGACACTGCTAAGGGACGCAACTTTTATAGAAAATTGCGGCGCCTTAGATGGCATGTCCACCCGGGCCCGATAGCTATAGAGTTGATGATGAGTTACGTCGTTCATATATCTGTGTATGCTAAATATTTAGACTAAAATCTAGTCTCTGAAATAAACATATCGTACATAAAAAAAACAGTTGTTCAGTTATCTTAATAAAAATATAATAAAAAGGAGCCCAGTGACTCTCTTCATTTTCAGATACTGCAGTGATCTAGACTTGCCAAACATTATAGACTTGCATGGGCTGTATTTGATATATATTTGTATCAGGGTCTGTAAGACAGACTAGCTAAATATTTTGTGTGATCTGGTAAGGAAGCTGGGTACAAATTTGTCAACTGATGGAAGCGACCGTTAAATCTCTACAACACCTCCCTTACCGTCAGTTTTTTAAACCGGAGTGCCAAGTGAAGTGAGGATTCCTCGCTTATCCCATAGTACGACACAGTGTGGTGGTCAAGAAGCCCTTTCCCCGGAAGGAGCAGCCTTTGGTCATCTGGAAGATACCCCCGTTTCTGCTCTATCTTGTTCTTCACTTCTCTCATGGTGTCGGATTGTTCGACGTCCACGTAGAACACTTCCCCTCCCTTCACCAGCTTAATAGGTACCTGCATCGCTGGTCATCGACGTGGATAATGGGTCGTATGCAACTCAATTTCCGTAACTGGAAAAGATACATCTATAGTGACCTATTTTGTCCACGCCCACGGCAGCTCGTATTCCCGATTCCAATCCATGTTCTGGGCCCGTAGTCATTGTGACTAATATCTAAGATAACTCATGAGACGGTATGACATGAATCATTTCTATACTTATAAGTGTTACTACCAACATACACCATGTTTCAACCCTTTAGACATACTCAGTGTGTATTGAATGACACACGCACGCACGCAGACAGACAGACAGACAGGCAGACAGACAGACAGACATATATTGTATACATGTGGATAGGTCGACATGTGTGGCTGCGAACACGAACAATTTAAAAATCAGATCAGTTCTGTGAAAATTATTCAGAGATACAATCGGGGGCATGTAATTCAGGTAATGTTGTCTTTATAAACAGTGTGACACAAACGTGCGTCATTCATTTGTTACACAATAATATATGATCAAAATGATCAAAATTCCATTTTCTCATGACGAGATCTTGTTTTTTAATCATACTACAATTCAAGTGGTTTAACTGCTAAGCTCAAATTCTCAACAGTTATATTTGTGTCATCTGTAACGTGACCCGATAAACTCGATGCCTCAAGAATGGTTGTACCTTGTTCTGTATGTCATATCGGACCGCCTCTGTGGCCTAGTGGTAGAGCGTCTGCCCGGAGAGCGGAAGATCCGTGGTTCGATTCCAGGCCGCGTCACACCTAAAGACGTTAAAAGATGGTACTTGTTAAAACAAGAACTTGACTTAGAGTCAGTACACTGTGTCTGAGTTGGGTATTCATGTTAAACTGCGGCATGGTATCTCAGTCAGCTAGCACTATAGTGAGTGAGTATGGTTTTACGCCGCTTTTAGCAATATTCCAGCAATATCACGGCGGGGGACACCAGAAATGGGCTTCACACATTGTACCCATGTCGGGAATCGAACCCGGGTCTTCGGCGTGACGAGCAAACGCTTTAACCACTAGGCTACCCGACCGCCCCAGCTAGCACTATAAATCGTCATAGTACAAGCAGCCTCACACATAAGTGCATTAATCTTGGACGCGACGTTAAAGCCATTTTCACTTCACCTCTATCTCATATCAGTGACGAGGTGATCGAGTTTCCTTGTCTCTATTTTGATTCTTGGGGAAAACCTTGGTCTCCTGGCTCGTCCGGGGCTTTGAAATCGGACGCGAGTATTGATCCACGTGTAACCGTCACTTAATCATTTTGCTTTCGACAACCAATATTAAGGTAAACACTTCATTTGACACTTCACATCCACCGAATGTGTTGTCTTGGATAGCTTGCCACTGTGAACCTCAATGGACACCCCAGAGACATAAACATATGGTCCGGACACACAATCCACTGCTAGTTCACTCGACGCTTAAAGAATGGTCGTCCCTTTCCTCTTCATCTGTAGTGTTCGAGTCAAGTGATTGTGTAGTGCAGGTAGACATTATTGTGCAATGTGGCCCAGTGCGGGCTGACGACTAAACATGTCGACCACCAAGTAAACAATGTCAGCGACAGCGCGAGTCGGTGGTATGAGAAGATGTGTAGAGTTGCCTCCCTTTCCCCGCCCAATTCTTCCCAATTTGGATTCTTCCTTCATTGCAACACTAGCTGTATAATGCTCTGTATTTAATCTCCTGCATTTAGTGGTCGCATACATCTACGAAGCTTCCTGCAGTCACCGATCCATCTTCGATTATTCAGTGTATTATATCGCCATTCCCCGTACCCATTCGGCGCCATTGCTCCGTTTCCCCAGCGAAATCATCTCTCACTGACTTCGCACAGAATTACTGTCGCTCTTCCAGAGTAACTTGACAGTCGATTATTAATCATTCGAGCCCAAAACGAAGTTAAGGTAGTGATGTTCACTACAAGGGTAGCCTATTTATCATTAAACTACAATGTAGTACAATGTAGATGCGCACTCGGAAATATGTGGGTAAGACACCCCCCCCCCCCCCCCACCCCTCTCGTCACCATTAACCTAGCTTGGTTTATTTGTACATTTATATGTTAATATTGTACCAAGTACTGTCGTTCCCTGTGGTACATGTGTTTTGCAAGTGCCCGTGAATCTGATTTGCACATCTTATTTCAATATATATTATAAATCTTGTCTTTGAAAGGCATTCAGAAGTGATGCACATAAGAAAGAGAATTTATGGATGTCAACTTCTTTATTATGAGGAACACAAAGTTTCGGAGAATATGCTTACTCCTTCATCAGGTGAATGAATGCCATGAGTCAGAAAGCATATATATGTACACGTAAGAACAACAAAAGTAATAAGATAACAAAAGGGGGAACTTAACTAGGGAATCCAACAGATAATTGGCGCTGATAACCGATTAGCTTGTTTTGATTATTTTCTAGTTTCACATAATATACTGCCATCTATGATGGAAACTATAAATGAACCAAGGTCTCATTTCCTGTATTCTCAAAGGCGGCAAACCAAAAAAATATTTGAATAATTGACGGTCAAGCTCTCTTTTATCGGTGTTCTATTAAGCTGCATTACCTACAATATCATGAAGAATCAGTCAGTCCTTGATTTATTAATAGACGAGGACCAAGAAGGTTTTATATCTGGAAGACACTTTGGTGAGATTACTAGACTAAGTTATGACTTGATGGAACGTACTGAAACGTTTCAAATGCCAGGATTACTGCTACTAATTGACCTCGAAAAGACCATTGATACAGTTTATTGGACATTATTGCTAAAACATTGTGCTCCTTTAATTTAGGACATGCTATATTCGCAGATTATTTACTGTATTTCACGAAGGAATTCAATCCAATGTACCAGTTAATGGTTATGGATCAGACATGTTCAGTATATTTAGCGGCTGTCGTCAAGGAGATCCGATTTCACCTTATTTATTCATTTTGTTTGCCGAAATACTTGGAATGATGATCAGAAATAATGCACATGTAGGGCATACAGTTTGGGAATGTCCAGTTCCTTATATATACACTTTGTAGACGATACAGCTTGTATCAGATGAATCTGAACGCTGTCTACACGCAGTTCTACAAGTACTAAATTGTTGCACGATCCCTGGACTAAAAGTTACCATTGATGAGACACGGTTTAGATGGATAGGGTGGAAAGAAAGATCAAGAATGAAGCTATGTCTACAGTAGAAACTAAACTGGGCTCAAGGTCCATTTGACCTCCTTGGAATATCCTTTTGTCTTGAGTTAGCAGACATGATTGATTGGAATTATAGAGAACCTTTTAGAAATTGTGAAACACGAATGTTAATTCGGTTAGTTCGACACCTAACTCGGCCGGAATTTAATGTTAAAATCTCTTGTTTTGCCGAAATTAAACCACATGTTTTCAGCGAATAGATTGTGAATAGATTTCACATGACGGATGACGCACGCCGTACAAAGACAGATGACAATACGTCACATAACCCTTTAGGACATCTTGCATGTATGGATAAAAATTAAGCTAACTAGAACTGTCCTATGGGGAATAAATGACGGCATGTCGTACAGTGCCCGTAGCTACACCGACGTACATATCTGAAAGAAATCGATGTAGTACTTAGAAGTTGTCCAGACAAATTGAAATGATAAGTAATAAAAGGCAATAACTCCGCCGAAATAAAAACCACACAAACAATTGCAATGTGCCCAACAACTTGTTGAAGGGGTCACGTGTACAATGTTTAATTGCAATCAGTCAATTAGTTCAGAAGGAATTGTCCGGAAAGTTATTTTCTGCTGATTCTTTTGTACGCACTAACTTCGACTGGAGCCGACAACTGATGCTCATCACCTTCCAGAGTAGTAGCATGCATGTCCTCAATAACGAGCCTGCCATTCTTATTATAACCGCTCTTGTTCTCAGATCTGAGCAAAGACTCTTTCTCACGCTGTCGCTTATTACGAATAATTACAAGAAACCGAGCAAAAACAATACAAAATGTGAAAATAGCAAAAAAGTACCCTATATTCCTAATCAAACTTTGTTTTTAAGAATCTTTTTCAATAAGGGGCGATATGTATGATATTAACCCTTAATGTAAAAACATAATTTTTACATAAAGGGTTGCGGGTTGTTACTCTTAATGTAAATCTTTTTACATTAAGAGTTAACGCGTAATCCTTAATGTATTTTTTCACATTAAGAGTAATTTTGACATTAAGGGTTGTAACATACTGTGTCGCAGTTTAACATTGATACCCCACTCAGACTGACCCTGATATGAGTCGACAAGTCCTTTATTTATCCGAGCGCCAGTCAGGGTAACAACAAGTAGTAGCTTTTAACGTCGTTTAGTATGGTGCGGCCGGAGATCGAACCATTGATCATTCCCTCTCGGGGTAAACTCCCTATCCACTACCACAGAGTGAGTGGTAATTGTGTTTTGGTCTTAATGGGACGTTACCTAAATGTATTGCCTTTCCGTGGCGTCATGGTCAGTGTAAGCTTAACTCTACAACTCGCCTGGTCAGCCAAGTGTCATTTAAGTCAACGAGTAATTGTTCTTTTGGTCCTTACTCTGAACTGTCTCCACGAACATGCATGTACCGCATCTCACACAATAATGAACACAACACAAGGTTTATACTCTAATACTTTTACTACCGCGTCAGTCCAGTATTCAAAATACAACTTCTTAACAAGACAGGGTAGGGTCGTCACAAAGATGGGAAACATCTGAACAGCCCGCACTACTCTGCTAGTGTTACGAGTATCTTTTTAAGGTGATCGAGTCCTGACCTTTCTTTGTCATAATCACATCTCATAATACATCGATTTGATTCGTTAAAACTAAATCTGTCCATGAACTCACGTGTGTCGTAATCGGAAACATACCGGAACCTATGTGAACAATTTAGCATCTGTTTACTGAGTTTCTGAATCACCCTGTTTGGTTTTTCATGATGAAAGTGTTCTTTCTCTGCTAATCAATTTGAATAGCACCGACAGCATTGGAACAATCACGCCAATACCATGTGCCTATCAAGTCCCTTCGTTTTTACTTTCCTTTCCAGTCTTTCTGGTGCCACTGCTTTTATTCAATCCATGAAGCTATCGCGACGATAAACATCATTTCAAGGGTTTATTTTGTTACAATTCTAACAATGTTTTGGGGATCCATTTTAACGTAATAACAGCGGTCTTTGACACAAGAAGGAAACTACACTGTGGTGCAGGTCGAAGACTTCTTGGTTGAAACCACTTGCAAGCGTATGCTGCTGACAGACCAAAGTTCAAAAGTGGTATTCGAACCAAAATATACCGGATCCTGGCATGTCATAGGGATGTAAATCTGCAGGTACAGCTCTTCAGACCACTGAGTTTCGTGCACACCTTTCCAAAGGTGTTCCCTGTGCTAATTTAATGGAAACATACCTATCAATAGAAGTGTATATCTTATGTTCCTTTTTCGGTGAGATAAGAAAGAAAAACAGACACACAAATCAATAATTCAATTTTTTGTTCCAGAATGTGCATGTTGAATATATATTCGTACAACGTAAATGCGATGGACTGCAGGTTAGAAGATATAGCTTTCCGCGGACGTGCGCGTTCTCTCCGCGGCAGGTGCCCGTGTGTCTCGCGATCAGCTTCAGGGTCGACTAATGTAACTTGGAGAGCCCGGCCGCGTTCTCCCCGCGATACGTGACCGTGTGTCTCTCGCTGGACTGCATGTGCACTTCATACAGGAGATCGCCATCGAGTTTCTTCTTCAACTGATTCCAGATGAAGATGACAATGTTCTCCGAGGTTCTACAAATAAATCGATGTACAATATGATAAAATACACGTAATAACAAAGTTAATAATAACAATGGTAATCAGTCACAAGCGAAAAGAACACCACAGAGATCTCGTCAACGGATCAGTGAGAATTAATAATATTTAAAGACATGAAAAACAGTGAGATATTTAACACGGACATAATGAGCAAAATGAAAATGTTATTTTGGAGTAAAATATCAGAAATAAGGACGCTCGTCTCGACCATTGTTTTCGAGGTACTATATTATAACATCGCTTCCGTTTGAGGTACGAAATAAATTATTTTTCTTTCTCTCAGTGTCGAGAAATAAAACAAAAGGGGCCCTATAAGTTTCAGAGGAGTCCTTGCATATGTTGTTTTTGTTCGTGTGTGTTTGATGTTTCACGCAACACTCAACAAATATTCCATTGACATCGGGACGGTCGGGTAGCCTAGTGGTTCAAGCGTTCGCTCGTCACGCTGAAGACTCGGGTTCGATTCCCGAGATGGGTACAATGTGTGAAGCCCATTTCTGGTGTCCCCCGCGATGATATTGCTTGAATATTACTAAAAGCGGCACAAAACCATACTCACTCACTCAGTGCACTTACACAAGTTCCATGGCTTTACTACATGTTGTTTCTGAGAAAACGCGCAAAGTTGAAGGAAGAATATAGTCTGGAATATTGCTAAAAGCGGCGTAAAACTAAACTTACTCACTCACACTCCATTCACATCATGAGCATCGACCCACGCAATTGGGATGCGAT